TATATACAAATTGCTTATATATATATATATATATATATATATATATATATATATATATATATATACAGTTAATCCCCCGTATTCGCGGGGGTTAGAAACCAAAATCGGCCGCGAATAGGTAGAATCCGCGGATACTTGCAACCCCACTAAAAGTACCTATTTTGATTGTTAAAACCTCATATGCCTTAAACTTTCATCCTAAACATTTAAGAAACATTCCAGACCCTTTTAAAATCATTTTTGAAAAATAATATTGGTGACCATACAAATGACGTAAATTTTCTTTCATATGTACAAAAACCGTTTTTAATTACGCATAGATCGATGCAACCATTGAAAATACTGTATAAAATATGTGTAACAAGATATAAAATATAAAGTTTAAAACATTTTCTAAAAACAGAACTGTGATGATGACCCCAGACTTAACATAAGCTACTTTTAAGACCCCAGCCGCAGACCCTAACAAAAACCCAAGCGCTACACATGTTTTTGCGTTTGTTTTTTTACAATGAAGATGTACAATTCTGCCAATTTGTACCATAAAAATGGAGTTATATGTTTTAAGTCACTTAAATAGCAGGAAAATAATAGTAGAATATTTTAAATATGTTCTATCGAAAAAAAATACGCGAACCGAGAGAGTTCTTAGCGTATAATTTGTACATAAGTTCGTCAGAAAAACACGTGAATATTCAGGGTTCTAAAGAAAAATCCGCGAATGTGTGAAACCGCGGATGCTGAAACGTGAACAGGTGTAAATATATATATATATATATATATATATATATATATATATATTATATATATATAGGAACTATAGGGTGCGTATCACTTCATTACGAGAAACTAGTAGTAAATTACTCGTAATCATATATATATATATATATATATATATATGTGTGTGTGTGTGTGTGTGCGTGCGTGTTTCATTAAAAACGACAGACAAGGTACTATGGTTAACCATTTTATTTAATTTTTCTTGTGTTCGAACAAGAGCTTTCTTTTCGGGACAAAGGGTGTGTAAGAACTCTCCAAATGTTTTATATTTCCAAGCGCTTTTGGCTATACCTTTAGCCATTATCAAAGAAAAATCGAATCATCCTTGATAATGGCTAAACATATAGCCGAAAGCGCTCGGAAATATAAAACATTTGGACAGTTCTTACACACCCTTTGTCCCGAAAAGAAAGCTCTTGTTCGAACACAAGAAAAATTAAATAAAAAGGTTAACCGTAGTACCTTGTCTGTCGTTTTTAATGAAACATGCATATATATATATGTATATATTCATATATACATAATAATCGTAAGAATATCAATATGTATTAGACGACGAATATGACGACGGCCTAATAATCGTAGCAAATTGTAGGGGTAAAACTACAGAAATAATAAGAAAACTGATTATAGAAACATTTAATACATTAGAACCACATAGAACCCCACACAGCAACAACAGCAAAAACTGTCGATTGTGTCTGGAAGTAAAATGGTAATTATTACATTCAAAAAACAAAAGAACTTATTAAACAAGAAGAATGAAATAATGGGGAAACGCAGACATTTAAACAAATGCCTACTTTTGCTATCTAAAGTCCAACCCTTACCTCACAGTCGGTGGGGGGGTGTAAAACGGTAGTGTCAGAGCTATGCCGTCCGGAACTTCGTTCCTGGTAGGGCCACCCAAGGCGGACAGGTCTGACACACACGCCGGCTAACAAGGGCTCTGGTGAAAATCCAAGGAACGTCTGCATCGGCAACCGGCGGCTTCTGGTCGTTCCTGTCTCTGCGTCTGTGGGAACCCCGCGGCAATCAAGAACGTTAACCGAGTAGGCCTGGGTACCCTACTTCTGTAATTTATCCCAAGAATCTTCTTCTCACAACAGGAAGAAGCCGGCTCAATCCGCCTAGGGTGAATGCCGCATCAAGTAAGTAAGTAAGTAGTTGCTATCTAAATACCAACATAAAATTAAATAAAAGAAATACAACACAAAACGTATTTTTGTGTTGTAGTTCTTTCATTACTCGAGAAAACTTAAAGTAAATGTTCCCCTTTGCGTTGGCCGTTAGACTAAATAAACACTGTTTAAAAATCTGAGCGTCTATTCAGATACGAGTGTCAGCTAAAAATAATGTTTGACGTAATAAAAATATGCACTCGCCAGGTCACATGCACTGAGTTGACTCACCCATTTGTTATGAGGAAGTTCCACTCAGTTTCTTCTCCAGAACTATTACATTGTAGAATGGACTTCTCTGATAATTACAATCTTAACCTCTTCAAGTCTGGGATCAGCCGCTATCTATGCTACTTATCCTTATAATATGCATTTCTTGCTCCCTACCTGGACGCACTTAAAACAACCTCATTCATTAACCCTCTACCTTGATAGGCTCTTGAGCTCCGTATTAGGTGAAGAATAGTAAAAATAAAAATAAATTGTGGGGATTTGCCTGGCGTACTATTCTTACAAACAACTCCATGTAAGTTCACTCC